ATTTTGAATGAAACAGCTCTCCATACATGTCGAGTCTTTAGTGTTGTAATGAACTCAAAGCTCCTCCCACCTGGCTTTCAGCTCCTTGTGCTCCTCCCTGAGCTTGCCCAGCTCCAGCTGCAGCCTGGCCCGCTCCTTGGCCACCTGGTCCAGGGTCTTGCGGGCGTCAGCCAGCTCCGTCTCGTAGGTGGCCTTGATGCCTGACAGGTCGCGAGTCACCAGGGACTCGGACTCGGAGATGCGCAGCCGCAGCGAGGCATTCTCCGACTCCAGCGAGCGCACCTTGTCGATGTAGACGGCCAGCCGGTCGTTGAGGTTGCACAGCTCCTCCTTCTCCTGCAGCCTGGTGATGCGGGCCGGGGACACGGCTCTGCGGCCGGAGCTTTTCTGACTCGGGGTTTCCATGGCGGTTATCGATCAGATGAGAGGAGCAGGTGGGGGTGAGCTGTGGGAGGAGGAGGAGGAGAGAGGAGTTTCAGTGGAAACCTGGTTCCTCAGATGAACATGAATCTCTGCAGCTCAGACATTTAGACTTTTTTCCTGTTTTCCTCTGATATTTTTACTACAAACCAAGAAAAATAAGGGCTGTGAAATTAATCGAGTTAACTCTGATTAATTTTAGTGCTGCATGGGCATAGATTAAAATTTCTCATTGAAATTAAAATTTACAATCACTTTACTCTGGCTGAATGTGTAGGTTTGTATATTACAATGCACTCAGTGCATCATGCCAGGTCATGTTTGTAAATGAGAAGTTGTTCTCAAACAGTTTACCTGGATAAATAAAGGTTAAATAAATAAAATAAATTTTAAAAAACTCCATGTGTAACACATTATGTACAGTTGTTTTCCTTTTTGTCTTCTTATGGCTTATTCTAGTTTATTTATTTATGTTTTGCTGACAGCTGTGACCTCAGTATCTATCTTTCATTCATCATGTAGTTCTCATTTGGAATGAAAATCCTTGAATTCTTGATTTAAACTCATTATTCTGCACAAAATTTAACTGACTCAAAGATGTTTGGAGCATTTTTAGGTCCTGATTTATATTCAAAACATTATGTCTAAGCATCAATTTTGTTTCCTAAATAAAAACATTAAAAACTAATTAATAACTTAAGTAATTTATTTTATCAATATGCAATAGAAATGTATATTAAATTTAAGATTAATCATGATTAATTCACAGCTACTTTGGGATTAATCAGATTAAAAATATTAATCATTTGACAGCCCTAATTTTTATACACCCACTTGGAAAGCAGTGCTACTGAGC